CTCTGGGAAAGAAAATCAATTAAGTTATATCTCAAATCATTGCATTTAACAATAAACCTGGCTAAAACAAAAATAATTATTTCTGAAACAGCAAAATTTCAGAAAAACAAAACTAAGTTATTTATATCTTGATAATTTACCTCTCCAAATAGTAAAGGAAACTGACTACCTGGGAGTAATTTTTGATTGGAATGGCAGCTTTAGATCATGTTTCCAAACTGAATGGTAAGATGAAGGTAACAACTGATAACTTGTAATATTTGTGCTCAGCTCTAAAATTTTCAGATATGCACTTGCATATAAAATTATGTAATGCATTAATAAATTCAATGATTTACTATGCAGGACCAGTTTGGAAATTAGACTGTCTGTTCAATTTGGAGTGTTTTCAAGTTTATTCTTTCCATACCATACTCTAGTTAGAGATGCTGTTTGTCACAAGACTAACCATATTTGGATATTTCTATTCTTAAAATGAATAATGAAACTTTGACTTGATGACTGCTGAAAATATAACTAAAGATCAAGAATATCAGAAAAATTTGCAGAACAACAAAATTACTATGATCATAGAATAACAACAAAAAACAATACATGAACATACCTTTTTACTAAAAATCATAGATTACAGAATATATAATAGTAAAATAAATAATTAAAAAATTATATTTGTAGAAACTAACTAAAATAATATAAAACTTTTATAAAATGGTTATTAAAATTTTCATTATACTTGACATTAAGTCAAGTATAATGAAATACATGAGCTTGTTGGTTTTTGCAGATTTCATCAATATCAGGTCTGATATAGCTACACTCACTTCTTCATCTATATGAGTAATAATGTAGATGAAAAAGTGAGGGTAGTAGCTATATCACACAGTAAACATGATATTGATATAATCTGCAAAAGTCTTTTTCATTTTTAGAGTTTTATATTGGTAAATGTGAGATCTGAGCTCATACTTATGTTGAAAACAAATTTTGTTAGTTTTCAACATTGTTTTCAGCATAATGTTGAAAACTGTAACAAAATTTTTAGTGCCTTGTGTTGAGAACTGGTTATTTGGTTTGAAAAAAATCCAAAATTCCTCGAGTCATTTCAGAGAATTTCATTTTTAAAATACCATCCATTGACGAGTTGAGAATTTTCAATACAACAATGTATTAACTGTGCTGAATTGATTTCATATCCAGTCATAATTTTCTATATTTAAGGAATAAAAGTAACTTGCAATCTTTTTTTCCAATAGTGTTAAATGTTCTGTTATAATGGAAATAACTCCGTCAGCATTTTTATTATGATGTTTATATTTTTCTGACGAGAGATATTTCAGAGATACTTTTTCTGAAATACTGACGTTTGTCAGTGGGTGTCAAAATAGTTTCGTGGTTTCCTTGAATTTTTCTATTAAGCTATTCAAGTAATTAAAAATATCTGCTTAATATGCCATTTTAACAAACCAAATATTATTTTTAAAATATTTTATAAAGTATTTGTACCTTCATTTTAGAAAAAGGCCAAAAATTCATTCTTAATGAAGTTCTANGACCTACTAAAAACCATTTATTATTTAACGTCCATAAAAATTATATTTATATTAATGATGTCTCCAAAGTTCAGCGAATTTTTCACAAAAAAAAAATAATTTATCAGGAAGCACGCGAGTGCCATTTGACGACAAGCTCTACGACGAAAACAAGCTTAAGCAATGGCGCCATCAAACGGTGCACACTCGGTAAGTAATCCTACAATTTTTTGTTTATAGCATAGTTTAAATGGATTATTCCCAAAAAATCTTACATATTTTGGAAATGTTGAGTCAAATTAGTCTAGAATCGATTAATTTTATGGAAGAAACCTTTCAAACAGCCATAGTCCGTAAACTGCATACGTGCCAGGCTGTGGTTGGTTGGACTCATAGAAAATTGATTCGTAAAAACCGGAACGTATCTACCATGTTATAGGGGGGTCGACTGTAATGTACTTTATCAGTAAAAGGATGTCAATGTGAGGTTGTAATGATACCACGTTGGGTTCAGCATGGAGCTGTAGTGTATCTTATTTGTCTATATTCACACAGAATATAAGAGAAAATGAAGATCACTGACTTATTAAAGTTAGAGGTACCATAAATGGGGGGAATAGGTTAGTTTGAAAGTACCAGAAATTTCAAGTTAATGAAATCAGTTATATGGAAAACCCTATATACTGTAGACTTATATAATTAAGTTAATGCAGTTCAATTTAGCAAGGTTTTAAAGTAATGATGTTTTGGGCATATTGCTAGAAAAATTAAATGACCTTTAATAAATTATAAATAAAAACTTTTTTGAGATAAATTGTGTGTAATAAGAATAAATTATTAAAGCTGTGAAAAATATACCTAAATATTGAAAGAATCTAGAATAAATCTTTAAAGTTTTTACAATATATTCTTTCTTATTCTAAACTATATATTGAATAACAGTTGAAAACAATTAAAAATATACAGTGAAATACAGAATATAGATTCAATATACCTGCTGAGGTGGAATATCGTTTAATACAATTGGATGAATTTTACATTAGTTGTTGTAACACAGACCAGTAATTTTAAATTTTGTCTTCTCTCCAAGAATGATATGTAGCTTACCAAGAATGAATACCTTACTGAGGCAATTTCTAATAAATATAATAATGTTGAGAAAAAAATCATAATGAAACTGTGAGGATCCGAATCCAAACTTTCTGTGTGTTTACATTATTTGTTCATAACATCACATCATAACTATAAACTTGATACATAACTGTCAGCTTTTGCACCTGGGAGAAAAACATCTGTTAAGTTCTCAGGCCTGTTAACAATGCTTGACCTCTCTACCTAATATCTCAATTTCATTGGTTCAACAACGAAAAAATCAAAAAACTAAGGCAGTCATTGCCCGTCCTTCGAAAGAGTCAATTTGTCACCTGTACCTTGTCCTAAGTGCCTCAATATTTGGATATCTGTGAATATATCATTTTATTCTACGTTTTCATATCCTACTAAAATATCATCGGAAATTATCGTCTAACACCTTTGCGGATATTGTACGTTCCATCAGGCTTACAGATGTTTTCTCTACAGGATACCCAAACTGACATCCCGAACTTCCTCTCTTTCACAAAGAACATTCAAGAATCTCAATCAAGATATCATAAAAGGTATTTATTGCCACATGCAACTTCTGTAAACTCTCTCTCTTAGGAATTGCAAAAACGTTAACATCCAATATATTTATTTAATATCTATCAATCATAGAAATGTATCTAAAATCTAGCATATTTAAAATCGAAATGTTGTATGGCCTATAATTACCCATTAAATAATTGTTACATTAACCCGTCTCTGCGTAAGGCACTTCCAGTGCACTGTCTCTCCCTCCATCCAGAATCCATTCTCTCACATACGCAATCGTTTGCACCTAATGGTTTCTGTATCTGTCCGTAAAGATGCAGTGGTGTCAGTCCTGAAGAAACTTGTCATTGCGATCTTCGCTGATGCGATGTCAACTCTTCAGTCCTGTGGTGCCAAAGTATAGGGAGGCCCTTCAGTATTGCCACAAAACCTTTGATTTTTTTTACTACATTGTTGATCTTTACAATAAGCATGCTTTCTTGCAGATATGGAAATTTGAACTTAAAAACATAACAGTACACAGTAACACTAAAATAGTTTCTTTATCTGTAATATTATATTATATGAACACATTCTGTTTTTGTTTTTGGCATAACTAAGATTTTTAATTTTGCTTATTTTTGGCATAATATTGATATGGTAAGACCCTGCTTAATGCTGATTCGATATAATGCGGTCTGCTCAAAGCATAAAAAAAGCTCAAAATTTATGTGGCATTTTATTGATTCATATATAATGAGATTATTCCCAAACACAAACCAATCAGCAAAAGTTGCAATTTGTCTTAGCACTATACTTCCCTTAAATCCATGTTTGTTTTGTGCAATTTTGGAAAAAATATAACATTATGGATGCCATAGGAAATATAGACTTGGCTTGGCAAGAATTAACTGATAAATGCATGGACAAAGTGTGGAAGAAGTTATGGCTGAAGGTATCCAAGAATTCTCAATGATAAGAACCTATCGCCGTATCGTTAGGTTGACCAAATTGTCAACCTAATTGATACAGCATGACTAGGAGATGCAGTCAAGCAGGATATTGAGGAGTTAATGCAGGTTTCTGATGAGAGCCTTACCAACGACGAGCTTCAAGAACTGGCAGAACAAGGAATTCGTGTAGAAATGGAAAATAGAGATTCTGAAAACAAGGAACCCAAAGAATTTCTCTATGGATTTCCTTAGTAAAAGTTTGGTAACAATAACCAAAATCATTGATCAAATTGTAGCAAATGATCCAGATTTTGAAAGGAGTGCAAAAGCAAAATGAGGCGTTTTTGATGCAATCTTCTGTTACCAACGTTTGCAATGTTAAGGAAAGAGAAAAAAGTGACAAATGAAACTACACGACTTTATTGCAAAAAACAAAAATCTAGAAGAGTCCATGACCTTCATCACAAAAATGAACTTTATATTTCTGTGTGCATTTGTGTTATTTAACATATATTATTATGCAAATTAATATAAAAATAACTTTAATTTTAAGTAAAATCTGTTTATTTTTGGTCATGTGTTCTCCTTACCCTATCTACTGTGTTAAAATGACCTCATTTAATGCTGTTTCATTTAGCACGTTGTCATCTAGAAATGCATCCCCAGCATTAATTGGGGTGTTACTGTATTTTAATATACCTCTCTTATAAGAGAAATTTGCTAATGAGTTCATTTTAAATTTATAGTAGTATTTGATAGATACTTTCTTTACTGGATTCTGATGACAACTTAAAATTACTAATTTGTTTTACTTATTTTTAATTAATGTAAAAAATAAATCCAATAATGTCACAATTANAATAAGAATTAAAAATTGATTATAATTTTTTTCCTGTAATTTCCTTTAGTAATTTTGTTTAAAGAAGACAACTAGTAATAAATTGGAATGGAAGATTACAAATTCTTGTTTAAAGTGGTTCTAATAGGAAATGCAGGCGTGGGAAAAACATGTTTGGTACGGCGTTTTACCCAGGTAAGATTTACAGTATATAATTTGAAATCTATTAAAATTTAGTCATCTATTTATTGAAACAAAATCTTAGGTTTTAATTATTTGAAATTTATTATAATTAATATGAATTATATCAAGGATTGCATTACCAGTAAACTAGTTTACCTGCAATCAGTTAAAAAATACATCAGTAAATATCAGTAATTCAATATTTGTTTTTACTAGTAAATTTGGTAAAGCACATGTGTACATGTGTAAAGTACTTGGTAAAGTACATGTGTAATCATTTTTTTGAAACCAATGTTTATTTCTATACACTTTCACATATATTTATAGTTTTACATATTAAAGACACAGAAGCATCGATTGTTTTTAAACTAGTGGTGTTCAAACTTTAATTGGCAGGCTAAGTTGCATACATATGTCATAGATAGGTAGGATATGCCCACTATTAGCTGAATGGATTAAACTTCTGAACACTTTTTTATTTGGTTGCAAGTTTGTACCTGATTAATGGGTTGCTGTTGTGGAGTTTTCTGGGTTTTCTTCATATGTTTAACTTCTAAATAGGAACTGGTTTCACATAGTCTTTCTGGGAAGCACTTTCCCTTGGAATATTTCCTGCATTTCATTGTCTTATCCCATTAATCTTCCAATCTTGAGCAGTTCACAAATATTGTGTATGAGGTCTGTTCAAAAAATACGTGGACTGTTTGAATTGCACAGCTTTAGTTGGTTCCAGGGGAATCCACTTGGTGTTGCTGGGTTTGAACAGATCGTCTGGTGATAAAGCCATTTCTTGATTACAGATATCAAGATATCTATACAGATATCTATTTGTTGATTAGCTATGCAGTTTTTAGTGAAGTGCAATTTTTTTTCATTTGTCGGATTTCAGAATAAATGACCTGAAGGAGCAACGACTTGCTGTGAAGTTTTGTGTTAAACTTGGAAAATTTGCAACTAAAACATTTACTATGCTCAACACGGCTTACAGTGATGTTTCAAGTTTGATCCAATGTCAAGGTGATGCTGACAGTTTTCTTTGATGCTAAGGGTTTTGTTTACCACAAATACTTCCCCCAAGGCTTCATAGTGAACCAAACTTATAGTGAACTTCATAGTGAACCAAACTTATTACATTGAAGTTCTGAAATGTCTGAGGGACGCCATCCTTCACAAAAGGCCAGAAATGTGGAGTGGTGACTGGTTTCTCCATCACAACAGTTCATTCAGCCCTCAGAACTCATAAGTTTTTGGCCAAACACTTGATCACTGTTCTTCCCACCCCCTACTCACCTGACCTTGCTCTTTGTGACTTTCTTGTTCCCCAAATTCAAAAGACCCTTGAAAGGAAGAAGATTTGAGACAATTTCCGCAATTAAGGCAAATGCAACGGAGGTGCTGAAAGACATTACAAAAGTAGCTTACCAGGACTTTTTCAACAAGTGGAAACACCATTGGGATAAGTGTGTGTGTTGGGAGGGAGAATACTTTGAAGGGGACCCAGACATGTAACTTCTACATAAAGTACATTTTGTTTTATGACTTTGGTCCACATATTTTTTTTGAACAGACCTCGTATATTTCCTATATACTAAAAGTAGGTCTATTTTTATAATTTTTAAGTGATGTTTCAAATTGTTTGTGGGCCAAAGTTGGCCTGGAGAACAGTTCAGACACCACTGATTTAAACTGAAATAATTTTTCTTTTAAATTATTACTTCAGTTCTTTACAATTTTTACAGGTTCATGTTATAGCACTATGCTAGACAGTTTTTAACAATTTGTTTCTTCACTTGTAATGCCTAATAGCAATTTCAGTCAAGCAACATTTTAATTGACAAAATGGAATGCATTTATTTGAATGTGAGCACTTACACTGGTTAATTTTTAATCATGGCAACTAAAAATTTACAGCCGTTTTTATTTTTCATTTTCAATACGGCTACGGCTGTTTGAAAAGTTTTCTTCCATTAAAATTAATCGATTCTAGACTAATTCGACTCAACATTTCCAAAATATGTAATTTTTTGGGAATAATCCATATAAACTATGCTATAAACAAATAATTGTAGGATTACTTACTGAGTGCGCACCATTCGAAGATGCCATTGCTTAAGCTTGTTTTCATCATGGAGCGTCTCATTGAACGGCAGGCGCGTGTTTCCTGATAAGTTATTTTTCTGCAAAAAATTCACTGAACTTTGGAGACATCATTAATATAAATATAATTTTTATGGCCGTTAAATAATAAATGGTTTTTAGTAGGTCGCTGCTCGTTTAAACTCAACTGTTTGTGAAATATCCGCTATTGGTCTAGATTCAACCAATCCTGTCGTGACACGAATTGGCGATGACGTTTTACCATGTTATACGAGTCTCTTTTAGCATGTTATACGAACACGATCGCAATGTTTTCGTTGTGTTATGTGAATCCGTGTTATAGGGGATCTACTGTATTTATATTACCACTAACTCTAGTTGTGAAGCAAAATCTATATTTTTAATATTTAGTTTTACTTACTTAAGTTTGACTTCTGACCAATTCATATTTACATCCAAATTTTCATTTAGATAATTTTAGAGTTGCATGTTTTTAGTGCAAGGCCATGTGTTGGCACTTCTGTCATAGAAAAAGAAGGCTAACAAATATTAGCAAATCTCTAGTGGTGTTGAAAATAATGAAAATAAAATATGTTTTCATTACAATAAATATTCAGTGACTGCACAGAAATAACTGTGCAGTCATTTCTATTTGAGAACTATTGCCCTAGATCAGGGGCGGGTAATCCTTGGCACACATGCAAAATGTGGCACACCAACGACTTTTTTCTGCACACAACCTAGCATTTACCTTAAAAAATAGATATCTAACATCGTTCTTGAATTGTATATACAACAATCCAATTCAATTAGTATTGTCAAACAATCCAATCTGTCAGAAAATTTAGTTAGAATTTAAGAGAAATATTCAATAAACACTTAAATTGCAGGAGAAATAAGATGTTAAAGTGTTTATTGAAAATTTAGTTAGAATTTAAGAGAGAAATTTAATGTAGCTTGATAAATATTCTGACAGATTAGACTGTTTGGCAATACTAATTAAATTGGGTTGTTGTATAAATTGTACATCCCATACCAACATAAAAACTGTTGATAAGTTTGCTGAATGTCATGGAGGAAAATGAACACTAAAGTCATCCTCAGTCAGTACTGTGAGTGACTAGTATGGTTTTATCTTAATTAACAGCACTGGAAGCAAACATCAGATAGATGTCTAGATAGTATAACTGGCAATGCATCTGTATGATAAGCAGGAGTTGTGGGTTCAATTGATTTCTGTCAATTTAAATTTGAAGCAGATACTGTCAGAATTACAGAAATATGGGTAAATTCTGAAGTGTTTTATAAGTCAAATACATTCAATGATCATTTAATAGAAAATGCTCCTGCTTGGACAATAGGTCCACATCAACCTAGTAGAATATATATATTATTAAAGAATTTATGCAAAATTCCCCAAAATGAAAATTTTATATTACTAGTTTATGATTAAACCTGACTTTGTTAATCTGAGGAACAAATTAATGATTATTGTAGTTGCCTATATTCCACCAGACTCTAGATATATTAAGTTTTTTTTTAAATCAGCAGAATGTTACACTGTATATTCTTCTATTAGGAGACTTCAACTCCTATATTGCTGAAATGAATGATGATTTAGTCTTCATATAATGGCTCAAATAACTTAATTCTGAATACTTAACTCTCAAAAGATGGATTAAGCTTAAATTCAATAAATCTTAAATTATTGTATCAAATCAGATTATCTGTCATAAATTACTTCCACAGTGCACAATGGAAAATCCATAATTGATTTCATTATCTGTTCCAAATTACTATTGGATCTATGCATAGAATTTAATATAATTTATGATGCTTCAGACCATTTTTCTTCTGTTGCTAAATCCTTGATGATATTGGAAAAAAAAACAATCTTTATAATTTTTCTTTTTGTAACTATTATAATTTCTCAAGATAAAAGAATGAAATAACTATAGTGAAATATATACTTACTGAACATTCATTGAAAGAATATGTACATATTAAAAATGGGAAAAAACAAATGATTCAATATAAAGTTTGATTTCAATTATTATAACATGGAGTTAATAAAATGGCAGAATCTAAAGTTATTCAAAAATTTCAAATAACCAAAATCTTATTTTTTTATTACCTTTCTAAATTTATAAAATAACACTTAAACTATTAAAAATTTAACCAAAAGAAAATACTATTCTTTCTATCATTAATCAAAATGATAGAAAGAATAGTGTATTCTTTTGGTTAACAATTTGCAAATTTTGTTTTGATGTGTTGACTCCAACAGTAACATCAAAATTTATTTCTGAAAGATATGCTTAAACTTTTATGGGCCATTTCCTATCCTAGAATTTCACCCATCCAATCATCTTTAACTTTCAAGTCAGTCAGTAATGAAAATCTGGATTCAAACTTTCTAATAGAGGGATTAGATGATTCAATTAATAACATGCACATTAATTTATCATTGAATAGTGATCATATTCTGACTGAATTTCTCGAACTACTACCCTATTTGGCAAGAGTAAAGTTACTTAACCTATTCAGCTCTATGTATGATGATCTTGCATATCTAGCTTCATGGAATTCTGTTTGGCTTTATACAATATTTAAAAAGGGAAATAAATCTTCTCCCAAAAATTGCTGATCAATAGCCTTCCTTTCAACTGTAAAGAAATGTTTTTATAGCAATTTTAGCTAAAAAATTTCAACAATGGACTAAAGAAATGAGTTTAGAATCAAAATTTTAATATACATATGTAAGAAATAGATGCACAGAATTAGTAGTTCCCCTTGTTGTTTATTTAACTTTATTTGGTTAAAAAAGACGGGGAAACTATTTATGGATTTTATATAAAAATCAAACAAACTTTTGAACATGTACCACTTTTAGTCAAAAATTTGAGTGCTAAAGGAACTGGAGAAAAATTTTCCTCTACTGTGCTTAAGCTACCTTCAGAATACAATATCAATATCATCCAGGGAAATGTCATATCTCCCTCATTTGTTATCATGAGGCAGCAGTCTGCTTTCACTACACTTTCTATCTAACTGATATGATTATTATTTATTGGCTAACTTTATCAAAATTCCACTGATGTTATGAAAATTATTAATGGAACTTTTATTGTATTATATGACCTTGTCATCATAGTATCAACAAAATATCTCTGGGAAAGAAAATCAATTAAGTTATATCTCAAATCATTGCATTTAACAATAAACCTGGCTAAAACAAAAATAATTATTTCTGAAACAGCAAAATTTCAGAAAAACAAAACTAAGTTATTTATATCTTGATAATTTACCTCTCCAAATAGTAAAGGAAACTGACTACCTGGGAGTAATTTTTGATTGGAATGGCAGCTTTAGATCATGTTTCCAAACTGAATGGTAAGATGAAGGTAACAACTGATAACTTGTAATATTTGTGCTCAGCTCTAAAATTTTCAGATATGCACTTGCATATAAAATTATGTAATGCATTAATAAATTCAATGATTTACTATGCAGGACCAGTTTGGAAATTAGACTGTCTGTTCAATTTGGAGTGTTTTCAAGTTTATTCTTTCCATACCATACTCTAGTTAGAGATGCTGTTTGTCACAAGACTAACCATATTTGGATATTTCTATTCTTAAAATGAATAATGAAACTTTGACTTGATGACTGCTGAAAATATAACTAAAGATCAAGAATATCAGAAAAATTTGCAGAACAACAAAATTACTATGATCATAGAATAACAACAAAAAACAATACATGAACATACCTTTTTACTAAAAATCATAGATTACAGAATATATAATAGTAAAATAAATAATTAAAAAATTATATTTGTAGAAACTAACTAAAATAATATAAAACTTTTATAAAATGGTTATTAAAATTTTCATTATACTTGACATTAAGTCAAGTATAATGAAATACATGAGCTTGTTGGTTTTTGCAGATTTCATCAATATCAGGTCTGATATAGCTACACTCACTTCTTCATCTATATGAGTAATAATGTAGATGAAAAAGTGAGGGTAGTAGCTATATCACACAGTAAACATGATATTGATATAATCTGCAAAAGTCTTTTTCATTTTTAGAGTTTTATATTGGTAAATGTGAGATCTGAGCTCATACTTATGTTGAAAACAAATTTTGTTAGTTTTCAACATTGTTTTCAGCATAATGTTGAAAACTGTAACAAAATTTTTAGTGCCTTGTGTTGAGAACTGGTTATTTGGTTTGAAAAAAATCCAAAATTCCTCAAGAGTCATTTCAGAGAATTTCATTTTTAAAATACCATCCATTGACGAGTTGAGAATTTTCAATACAACAATGTATTAACTGTGCTGAATTGATTTCATATCCAGTCATAATTTTCTATATTTAAGGAATAAAAGTAACTTGCAATCTTTTTTTCCAATAGTGTTAAATGTTCTGTTATAATGGAAATAACTCCATCAGCATTTTTATTATGATGTTTATATTTTTCTGACGAGAGATATTTCAGAGATACTTTTTCTGAAATACTGACGTTTGTCAGTGGGTGTCAAAATAGTTTCGTGGTTTCCTTGAATTTTTCTATTAAGCTATTCAAGTAATTAAAAATATCTGCTTAATATGCCATTTTAACAAACCAAATATTATTTTTAAAATATTTTATAAAGTATTTGTACCTTCATTTTAGAAAAAGGCCAAAAATTCATTCTTAATGAAGTTCTAAAAATGGACACAGCATTTGGCCCTGAATAATCTTGCTTCACTATGCAAAAGCAGATTTATACTGAGCTTGCACAGATATTCAAATTTTAAAAAATAACTAACATCAAGTCAAGATTATTTAACATTTGTACAACTTATTCTAGTACAGGTTTTAACGTTGCTGGCAATGGTTTTGAAACTAGGGATTCTCTATGCTATAAACATTGCTTAGATATAATATTTGAGTTTCTTCTCTTTGCAAGGGTAACAAGAGAAGTTCATTGCAAAATGCAAGTTGTCTTGTCTGCATTGTTAACTAAATTTACACTAAAGTTTGTCCAATCATAGTTTCAGCCAGTACATAGCTTTTGTAATTTAGCGGAACACTTGTAACAAGTTTGCAGAACACAAGTGTTCCAAGAAACACCAGTTAAAAACCACTGTTCTACACTTGGCCCACCAGTGGCCAAGTGGTCTCCGTTGCCGCTCATAGCGGTGGTGACTGGACCCTGAACACTGGGAAGTTCGGTCGTGGGTTCGTGCCGCGATCGGACAGGCTGGCTGCTTGGAGTTTTCCGGGTTTTCTCCTTGCCAATAACGACTAAATAGGAGGCCAGTTCCCTATAAAAGTCCTCCCGGAAGGCATTCTTTTCCCGCGCGCGCGTGACACATCATTCAAGGAAGAAGGCAATGGCAAACCACTTCCTCAACTCTTGCCAAGAAAACTACATGGACAAAGAAAGNGCAGGATATTGAGGAGTTAATGCAGGTTTCTGATGAGAGCCTTACCAACGACGAGCTTCAAGAACTGGCAGAACAAGGAATTCGTGTAGAAATGGAAAATAGAGATTCTGAAAACATGGAACCCAAAGAATTTCTCTATGGATTTCCTTAGTAAAAGTTTGGTAACAATAACCAAAATCATTGATCAAATTGTAGCAAATGATCCAGATTTTGAAAGGAGTGCAAAAGCAAAATGAGGCGTTTTTGATGCAATCTTCTGTTACCAACGTTTGCAATGTTAAGGAAAGAGAAAAAAGTGACAAATGAAACTACACGACTTTATTGCAAAAAACAAAAATCTAGAAGAGTCCATGACCTTCATCACAAAAATGAACTTTATATTTCTGTGTGCATTTGTGTTATTTAACATATATTATTATGCAAATTAATATAAAAATAACTTTAATTTTAAGTAAAATCTGTTTATTTTTGGTCATGTGTTCTCCTTACCCTATCTACTGTGTTAAAATGACCTCATTTAATGCTGTTTCATTTAGCACGTTGTCATCTAGAAATGCATCCCCAGCATTAATTGGGGTGTTACTGTATTTTAATATACCTCTCTTATAAGAGAAATTTGCTAATGAGTTCATTTTAAATTTATAGTAGTATTTGATAGATACTTTCTTTACTGGATTCTGATGACAACTTAAAATTACTAATTTGTTTTACTTATTTTTAATTAATGTAAAAAATAAATCCAATAATGTCACAATTAATTTAATATTTTTTTATACAGAATTTTTTTTAATAGAATATAAGAGAGCAGGAAATATATTCATAGTAAAAATAAGATTGACCTTGTTACTTTCAAATTAGATATGTTTAAATATAAAATATTGATAATAAACCAGATTATCTTCATATACACTAAATAAACAGTAGACTATATATATATATTTTAATTAAGTTAAATTTTTTTAATTAAAAACTTTTCGGTATTATATTTTAAAAGAAGTTAGAGAATTAATTTTTAATCGTTTTCTATTTAGGGACTTTTTCCTCCTGGTCAAGGCGCAACAATTGGAGTTGATTTTTTAATAAAATCAGTTGAAGTTGATGGAGAAAAAGTCAAGGTATATTAATATTAATAATAATTCTAATCTAAATTTATATTAGTTTAACTTGTAAAATTTCTGTTATAATTAAATAAACAAAATTTTGCTTTTATAACCCTCCTTTTAAGTGGTTATAAAAGTGAGTGATTATATCTGGCATATATTGGTAATTTTAGCTTTATACTAAAAAAAATTTATTTATTCCATCCATAGTCTTTTTCAGAATATGAATGAAGTTAATTATATGAATCACTGAATTAGTGCAGTTAAGATGGCAAATAATAATCTCAATTGCACTAATTTGGTGATTCAAATATTTAAAAAAAGATTTACAATAATTGCTGTTGTAAATTATTAGCAATGGAGTTATTGTTTATTCATCTACATTTGCAATGGAAAATAGTTGTTTTGATTATGAAGTAGAACACAATGTATTAGATAATTTTATTTGTTTTATTCTGTTTGAATTTTCCAATGATTTTTGCAAGAAATTTGAGATTTAAAAGAAAAAAACAAAAAAGCCCACATGATATGATGTAATGTTTGGATTTTGAAGAATTTTTATTGCTTAACTATGATGTGTGTATCACTTGTTCCTTGGTGGTGGAATGAAAAACATTCAAGATCCAGCACGTCAGTTCCTTTCTTATTTGGAAAATATAGTTCAGAAAAAGATTGAATTAGTGTTATGTCTGATATATTTTCCATTTTAATTTACTTTATATTTTTTCTTCTAAAATGCTAAAAAATAAAAAATAAATATTTAAATGCAGTAGGTACTGCTTATTCTAATCTGAATATTATCAGAATAAACATGTCTTAAAACATAAATTAAATAGCATTTCAAGGCTTTTTTTCTTATAATTATCATTATGCTGCTAATGATAAGTTTGAATTTATTTAGACTGTTAATAACAGCCAAATGACAAAACATAGTAAAGGTTATAAGCCATGTTCCAATAAAAATATTAACTCAATGGTCAGAATCAATGTAAATTAAGAGTAAACATCTTATACAATTTAATATGTTACAACTATGATCTTCATTACTGTTTTTAAAGTATAGAACTGCATTGTACCTCTTACAAGGAGAGAGTCAGATGTTCAGGTCTCCAATTTGAAGAAAACTTAGTGAGCATATATTCCTTAACATAAACAGATCCTTGTCCAAATAATAAAACCTACTTTTCAAGTGTTTCTAAAAAACAGGCCTTTAAAAATTTGTGTGTTTAACTTATGTCTTTGGAAGTTTCACATTTCCTTGCTAGGCACTAGAGCTTCACAATGTAGGTTCAAACCTTTTTGCAAATTTAGTTTTATGAGTATCATAACAATTTTATTATTCTACTGTATCATTGACATTATTATTACTATTATTATTCCTCAAGTTTAAAGAATATAAAACAAGCTTTAAACATGTCATTTTCTATTTAGCAAAAAAACGAAGTCTCTGTAGATTTCTCTTTCATATTGTTAAATAAAATTTTTATTTCTTCATATTTATTTTCACATTTTCAGATTTTTTTTTTTTTAAATTATTAATTTTATGGACAATTTCCTCATTTGTTCATGTTTGTTACACTTCAAATATAACATCACCATATCTGAAAATAAATATGAAGAAATAATTTTATTTAATGACATAGTCTCTGCAGATTTAACTCTTGTTTTTGATAAACAGGAAATGGTGTCATAATTTTTAATCTCTTGTTTTATAAGCTTTAAATGAGAGGAATAATAATAGTAATAATAATGCTAATGATATGGTAAAATAATAAAATAATTATACTACACACAAAAAAAAAAATTGAAATTGCAAAGGTTTGAATCTACATCATGTAGCTCCAGTGCCTAGTTGCTTCATCCAGTTGGCTTTCATGTTCTGAGAAAAGTGAAACTTCCAAAGACATAAGCTGAACACTCAATTTTCAGAGACCTATTTTTTGAAACACTTGAAGTGGGTCCTATTATTTGGACAAAGAGCTATTTGTGTTTTAGGGCTATATTGTGCTCACCGAGTTTCATTCAAAATGGAGACCCAAACATCTGACCCTCTCCTTGTTAGCACAATGGAAGATGCAAATAAGAAATACAAAAATTTGTCCTTCAAAGATGAACTTGGAATTATAGAATGCTTATGATAAATTGCCAAAAATGAGTCAATGCAAAGCTGCTGCACAGTTAAAAATTTCAGTCAATGCAAGATTTTGAAAAACAGAGTAAATATTGAAATGTTAGAAGATTAAAAATCCAGCAACAAGTTGCATAACTTTCCTGGCTGTTAAGTTATTTTAAAAAATAAAAACTCTTATGATGATCACACTATTAATAGTGTGTGATGCCAACTATTATGAGATTTCATCATAATTTTTTTATATTATTAATTATTATAAAATGGCAAAATGCTTTAATTTAGAGGATAGAGATGAGTTTTATAAAAACTTGTAAATGTTAATAATGAATAAAATCTCATTGGTTCAATCTCTTGAAATATGACACATGACTCTCCCCTCTATCTCACATCCTTTAATAACCAAAATTTAATAGCATCAATGCCCTTATTTATCATGCCAAATTTTGTTCCTTAATCATTACTTCATCCTGAGATATTAAACAAAAATAGATGCACATCCAGCCACAGAATTCCCCCATTTTTTATTTTCAGGACTTGGGTTCAGAAGTTCTCAAAATGTGGAAATTTGAAAAAATCTGAAGGTTTACATTTGACACAATTCCAATACTTTCCCATTTTATATATACATAACAGCTGAAAAACTAAAATGAGAGCAATGTTTTGCAAGAGAACTGGAAAAGGTAGTGAAACTGAACTAGTTTTGAAGCTTTGGCTTAATAATGCTGGTAAAAAATTGCTTATTAAGTACTTTTATCATAAAACAGGATTATTACTAACAAAATATAAAGAGATTTTATTTCAATCAATGTGTGTGGCTCAACCAATATGGAAAATGAGTTATATTGTGTATAGACACTCATGAAGAGGAGGAAAGTTTTGACTTTGCATTAGCTGAATGGTAGATAAAAATAGAATGGCCAGAATGTATTCACTGAGCAATATATAAAATGCAGATGAAACAGCACTTTTATTTTAGTGCAATGTCTGATCATACTTATAAAGGCTAAAGAATTTAAATCACTGAAGGAAATGTATCTTATTAAATTATTTAATAAGAGATGGTGCCTAACACCTACCTCTAGTACCAAATTATTTAGTATTTAATTACTAATAGTAGTGGTAAAGTAACCCAATTTTAAATCCAGCAATTGTTTGATTTCATCATTGCTATGCCAATATGCAAGGCCAGAAACAGACTTCTAGGATTTTTATTATTTTCAATCACTAGATGTTTTAAGAGTGAAAATTTCCTGGTGGATTACTGTTCAAATATTAATGCCTGGATGACAGCTGACATTTTTAACAACTGGTTAGTTAGAAAGAGGGTATAAACTTGAAGTAAAATATTGCTTTGTTAGTAAACAATTATATAACATATTCGTGATTTAACAATATACAGTACCATTAAAAAACTTTAAACTAATAATCTGTCCTGTGAATACATCATCACTGATTTAGCTATGTAATTAAGGAAGTGAAATGTGTGCAAGAATTTTATAACTAGATGATAGTCAAAGGTAAACTAATAGAATTTCTTTTAGCAATAGAAATACCTTTCTTTCACTTTAATTTTCTATTTTACTCACTACATTTTTATCATTGAGAATTGTTTAAAAAAGGGTGGCTTTTTCAAAAATATGGAGACATCTGAAAATGAAATTTTTTGTTGTAGAAAAGATTGTAAATAACACTGTAAAGTACTAAGTTATTTTTATGCCTTTTACAATGATTAGTGACACGACTTTGTGCCGGAAATATCCGTTACCTAATGGGTACTTTACGCGGATTCACATTAATGTGCCAGGCCTGGACTTTAAGCATGCACCGAAAGAAATAATGACAAAGTTAGTCAAAAAACAATCCAATATTTAATAATAATTCTAATCTAAATTTATATTAGTTTAACTTGTAAAATTTCTGTTATAATTAAATAAACAAAATTTTGCTTTTATAACCCTCCTTTTAAGTGGTTATAAAAGTGAGTGATTATATCTGGCATATATTGGTAATTTTAGCTTTATACTAAAAAAAATTTATTTATTCCATCCATAGTCTTTTTCAGAATATGAATGAAGTTAATTATATGAATCACTGAATTAGTGCAGTTAAGATGGCAAATAATAATCTCAATTGCACTAATTTGGTGATTCAAATATTTAAAAAAAGATTTACAATAATTGCTGTTGTAAATTATTAGCAATGGAGTTATTGTTTATTCATCTACATTTGCAATGGAAAATAGTTGTTTTGATTATGAAGTAGAACACAATGTATTAGATAATTTTATTTGTTTTATTCTGTTTGAATTTTCCAATGATTTTTGCAAGAAATTTGAGATTTAAAAAAAAAAAACAAAAAAGCCCACATGATATGATGTAATGTTTGGATTTTGAAGAATTTTTATTGCTTAACTATGATGTGTGTATCACTTGTTCCTTGGTGGTGGAATGAAAAACATTCAAGATCCAGCACGTCAGTTCCTTTCTTATTTGGAAAATATAGTTCAGAAAAAGATTGAATTAGTGTTATGTCTGATATATTTTCCATTTTAATTTACTTTATATTTTTTCTTCTAAAATGCTAAAAAATAAAAAATAAATATTTAAATGCAGTAGGTACTGCTTATTCTAATCTGAATATTATCAGAATAAACATGTCTTAAAACATAAATTAAATAGCATTTCAAGGCTTTTTTTCTTATAATTATCATTATGCTGCTAATGATAAGTTTGAATTTATTTAGACTGTTAATAACAGCCAAATGACAAAACATAGTAAAGGTTATAAGCCATGTTCCAATAAAAATATTAACTCAATGGTCAGAATCAATGTAAATTAAGAGTAAACATCTTATACAATTTAATATGTTACAACTATGATCTTC